TGAGTTTTGTATTATTGAGATACTGGAAGAGGAGAAAGGTAGAAGTTGTGCTGTTTCTTCAAATTAAAAAAATATATACAATTTAATGTTAAAAAATTGAAATTTGGGTTTCTGGTCGATGTTGAGTGTTTTTTCTGCTTAGAATTCAACAAACTCTGTCTCCTTATTTCAGATCTCAAACATTGAGTCCAGGATATCGGCTCTAAAAACTGCTGGGTTGAATGTGACCGCCTGCAATCGCTTCTCCAAGTTCAAGCCAAAGGTGAAGGTAAGAAGTTAACAGCAACATACTGTAAATATTTATATAAATTAAACATTCCTTGTATTTTAAGAACTGGCATGCTAGACAATAAACTACCTTGACAAAGTAACACCTGAGAGTTGGTTCAGGAAGGCGTCTCATGACATTTTTAGCCACCCAGATGTTATTTTTCTAACTAAAACTAAAAGGCGGGCTGTTTGGATTATCTGTTTCTTCTCCAATGTGTATGAAGGGAATGATATATATTTTCTGATTACAGCCTGAAACTCTGGACTCATCACGCCACCAAAGGAGGAAGCTCCCAGCTCCTCCACTGAAAGGTACAAATAACTTCAGAGCTCCAGATTTTACAGAGGTTATGAACTGATGCATGACTTTCAAACAAACACAAAAAAGAACATGTCTATAAAGTTATTTTATAGTTGTAGTTATTTTATTACAGGATGTAAATACTATCAGAAAGTGTCCGTTGGACTCACTGTACATCCTTGAAGTCCTCAGCAGATGAAGTAAACATACAGAGAGCTCCCTAACCTGAACTGACTCACCTGTACACTGCGTTATACTCTCCTAACCTCAAACACAGCTTAATGGCCTTACAAACACATACTCTGTCCACGTGTTTGTGTGAACCAAAGACAGCAGGGGGAGAGCTGAGGCAACTCTTATTCACCTTTATTTCACATTACACATGTGTGCTTTGTCCCTAAAAGAAGATATTGACTGATGAATAGATGTAAAATGAATACGTTGGCTCGAAAGGGACAAAGTAATTGAAAAGCTCCATTAGATGTAAAGAAACAAAATGGAAATACACATGGTACAGAAGGAAGAGGCTGTTATATCAACCAACAAGAAGTTGGTTCCTTTTCATGTCAGTGAATGGCCTTTTTTCTGTGGGGGCCTTCTTTATTTTCATTTTTGACTCATTTTTTCTACACCAGCATCCTCACAATAGCTCTGATTAACGGTGGCTTTTTCAGCACAGCTCCACACAGACAGCAGAGCAGGACAATGGGATAAAATCAGTCCCCTAATCATATCATTGATTTCAGCTTACGGTGTCACTTTTTATCAGTCCACTATACAGTATGCTGGTAATATATGGTCAAGGAGACAAGTCAGGTGCCATTTGAATCATATGTTATTTATAGTTTCCTCTTTTTTTGTGAAAACCCCTGGAGTTTTGGCAGATTTATTTTTAAATTTGTTGCTTTACAGATAAACTGGAGCCAGAGCAGCAGGTGAAAGCGTTTCGGCCATAGTGGCAGTCAGCAGCACAACAAGTCCCTCAGGGCCACCTCAGAGCCCCAGGGACATGGGGGCCCCCTCATCCAGTGCCTTGACCCAGTGTCCGCCTCCAACTCCAGGCCAAGCAGGGGCCAACACCTTCCCTGTGTGACCGACCAAGCACTCAGCCCTCAGCCTGGCATGATGCCACATCAGTCAGAGGACACGACTGGCCATCTCCTCTTCTCCACTTTTCATGTCATTTCCTCCTGCTCATCACGCACACAACAATAAGCAAGGATGACTCAACAGTCAGCGTCTCTGCCTTAAATTCACTCTACATGACCCGAAAGAGAAAAAAAAACACCTGTACAGACAAAAAAAATTAACTCTCATCACCTTTTTCTATCTGTTTGCAAGAGTATTGTGATTTACTGTTCGATGAAGATGTGGATTAATCATGTGAAACTTTCTGTGATTCAGTGTCCCAAAAAGAGGCTGAGCCGTGTTTTGTACTGCATCTTCTCTCACACCAAATGAAACGTCATGAGGAATCGTATCATGCTTCAACGCCCGCCAGAACTTTTTGAGATGATTGTCCATTCTCACACACACACACACACTCTCTCTCACAGAGCTCAGATAATACAGGCTCATTGTGGAATGATTGTAACACCTTTTAAAATTTTAAGCATTTAAAAAAACGCAGTAACCCATTATGAAAAATTAGGTTCTGACCGGCAGTGTTTTCAGGGCTGGAACATTTTTCCCTCCCTCCTGACTCTTCAGTTGCAAAACGGTGAAAATCAAACACAAAGCACACTTTGAAAATTTTTTCCCCAAATGTTAAAAATAATCCAAAAAGAATAATTTAGAAGGCTTTTTGGGAAATGATAGATTTTCTTTCTCCTCCATACGTATGAGGTAAATTCAGCCTTTCTCTCTACACCTATCGCATTTTTCTTTAAAAAATTCAACCTGCAAATTGCCCAGAACTTAAAAGAATCTCCACACTGACCTAAAAAAAGAAAGTCTAGTCCAAGGTTGTTTGTAGATGCAGCACCAACCATATGTAGTTAGCACCATTCTCACATCTACTCTGCTTGTCTCTTGTCCTAAACCTGGCTAATCATTCTTTGTACCCTTACCTTAAAAAAGTAGTGGGTCCTGCAGTAGATTAGTCACACTTTGGTTGGGTTCAAGCAGAAAACACTGCTTGGTTCCAGCCAAGAAAAGATCTGGTTTGGGCCAAAACAACCAGTCAGCATAACCCCCCATATGGGACAGAAAACAGGCTGCTATACTCCCATACAGGGGCATCACCAGTGCTCTATGGTCTTCAAGTCAATGGTCTGAGGCGAACCAACGAACAAGTAAAAAGCAGTTTAGGCAAGCTTTAAAGCATTATGTACCAGCCAGTCATGGTGCTGCATAGGGGCCAATCTTAACACATAAGATTGAGATTAGAAACAGAAACTGATCAAAACACCCAGAGTCCTATAAGTCTGAGTCTAAAATTGTCTGAATACAACAAACAGATCGTAGAGACCAGATATAAACTTTGTTCTCTCTGAAATCAGGTGCTCTCAGATGACCTCACAGGACAATTCTATTTTATGTATTTTGATGTCATGACCCTTCATAGTTCTCCTGCAGAAATGGAAAAGAGTTTTACTCATAAAGCAGAACATGACCCTTAACTTCAGGAATTACCCTTTGGGAGCTAATTTAGCAGGAAGACACAAGAGAAGTGTACATGCTTATATCTTTCTCTTCACAAGAAATTAAAAATTTGTTACCCAAATTGCCCAACTATTCCTGGAATAAATGCCTGTTATAATGATTTTTTATAGACTCAAACTTTCCATTTCATTTAGGAAATTAAACACTTTTAATACACACATATTGAGAGCTACATAAGGGGTGATATACGTCAGAAAGTCAGACTAAGTTCACAGTGATCTGCTTCAGTTTGACATCCAGGTTTCGGTCCCACATGCAGTGTTCCTCAAGCATGCGTCTCTTTTTCCCTCTCCGTCATCTTCTTTGTTTACTTTCAAATATCGTGGCCTTTTATTTGAACAAAAAGTATTTACCCCTCGGCTGGGTCATGTTCAAACTTTTGTGTTGCATTAAGAAAATGTATTGAGGATTTTTACATGATGAAGTCCTATATGACAAATGCCATGAAACCATGATTTTGTTACAAGCAGTTTATTTTTCTACTTAACTAAATGTTTTTATGCAATACCACTGAAAAGAGCACTGCTGCAGATTGAAGGCTTTATTCTCCGTCACAGGAGCCCTCCTCAGTCAGTCCTATCAAGTGTGATGACTCAAAGTGCTTTCAGTGTACACCTGTCTTTACCATTCAATATTCTGCTAGAAATAGATGGTAAATGTTAGGAAAACACTCGTGACAGAAGGCATTTTTACGGAGCGGCTAGTACGATTCATTCTGTGCTCAAACGCGGGGTTTGAGAAAACTGCCTTTCATTTTTGGGTTAATTCTTTCCTCTGTTACATCTTAGCATTACTCCCAGTTTCAGTAAGCCATGCAAGCAGATGTCAAGTCAGACTTGGATATCGGGATTGACTGCTTGAACTAAAGGGTGTGATGATTTTCTGTATGAATGCTCTGCCCCTTCTCTTAGTGACCTTCTCATCTCAGCCTTTCACATCTCTGGTTTTTGCACATTGATCCTGTACTTTTGTCAATCTTGTTCTCCGGAGGTGTCAATGTATAAAAGCATGTTTCTGGTTTTATCAAAAATTGATGTAAAATTTCCCGTGAGAAGCACAGCCACAAGGGTCCAATCATCAGTGTCCTGTATTTTTCTAACTTAAAAAGAAAATTATACTATCTCATCACAATTTGTTAATATATGTATATGTGTGAAAAGATGGATATAGTATAATGTATGTATTGCCCAATCATAGTTGATCAATCTTTCAGTGTTGTGTGCAAGAGGCTGTGTATAATTGTCATGACTTGTAGGGCTGGATTCACACAGGAAGTCTAATTTACTACTGGAACTGTGTCCCGCATACTCAGAGATGATGAGATTCACACAGAGCTAAAAACAGTTCCTATATTTCTTCCTGTTCAATCCAGCATAAATGGGGCTTACTGCGCACAGCTCCACATGCAGACCGTTCCCTTTTATGTGCAATCCATACAACATGTTGGGGAAAATATTAACATGCAAAAAATACAGATTCTCTATGTGCCACAGTACCCTGAGAAAAAAAATGTATTATGAGATGAATAAAGTTTGAAAACTTAAAAGTTTGTCATAAAGAAATACTTAATATCGATCTTCAAATACAGACATGACAGGCACAGATATAATCCCAATAGTCTGGTTTATTAATCAATATAGAATGCATTTATATGTACAGATACATTTGGTGACTTCTATGATGGATACATACACTCAAGAGCGAGAACATAATCATAAAAAATGAAGACACAAGAGTTTGTGAATGGACAAAGGAGGACACGCTGTCATGGTAACCAATCCCCCTGCTCGACATCTATCACATTTCCGAGATCCTCCTTGTTTCTGAGGCTGTTGAGAAGCAGACCCAGAGTCCTGACAACAGGCTGCAGACCCCCACTGCTCACGCCGCTATGCCTCTTCCCGAAGCGCCCGATGGGTCTCACCCCGCGCCCCACATACCAAAACGGGTCTATCTCTGGACCTGGAAGTCAAGCAAGCAGTAGAAATAATTATTATAACAGCCAGATATGTTAAATGTACAATTCTAATATGTTTTCACTCACATACATTAGTTGAGTTTACATAGAAGTCTAATTTCAAGAAAAAGTTTCAGTCCCTGAGGTTATCTTTTATGTTTTAAATTTTTTGTCTGCACACACCACCAACGTAAGAATAAAGGATGAATTTTCTAAGCTGCCTGGATGCAAAAAGAAGCTGGATGGATAATATTTTGCTAGTTTTCTTCACATCTAATACTAAATTATTGATTTTAAAAAAGTGACTTTAAACATATCTTTGAAATCTTTGCCCAGGATACAATAAAAATATACTTATTTACTGTTTATTCTAAAAATATAGCCAAGTAACACCATTTACAACCCAAATTAAAAAGACACATTTGTACACACATATTTCTCTCATTTTTACATGCATTAAAACATGATAAAATTGAGTATTTTTTGCATTAAACTATATAGCCAATTAACACCATTTACAACCCATAAACTGCACAATTAAAAAGATACATTTGTACAGACACATTTCTCTCATTTTTACATGCATTAAAACATAATAAAATGAAGCATTTTGCATTAAACTATCACAGAATAATGTACATAAAGAATAAATGACAGACCAACATAGTACAGCTCTGTAAAAATGGATGAGCAACAAAAAACTAACACTAGGATGTAGTAAATAAGTCTCTAAGATTTAAAGTTGTTGTTTCTTTAAGTGATGCTCCTTCACGAATGAATTTTATCTTTCAAAATGAGGTTAAAATTCATTTAACCTCATTTTTGGAGGTAAAATTCAGAGTTAACTGTTTTAAGGGTTGAATTTTATTTTGTCAATCGTTTACAATGAGTCTTTCCCCTGAACTTTTAGCCTCTTAAATCACCCTCACTAATGCTATTCCAACACTTTTTGCAGTTAGCCTCATTAAGAACCCCCCCAAAAAGTTAGATAAATGTTGTAAAATGAGGTCTTACTTCTGTTGTCGACATTGTGGACGATGTGGAAGTCGTGCTCCACCGTGGTGCTGTGCGCGCTGCTCAGGCTGGTGGAGAGCAGGAGAAGCAGCGCGAGGACCGCGGGCACCCAGCGGCTCGTCAGGACGCAAAGGCGGACGTCAGCCGCTCTCCCGGGCAGCATGCTGTGGGGTCGCTTCGGGGACTGAGGAGTGGGGACGGAGGAAGACAGGTCAGTGAAGTTTCTTAATTCATGTAGTATTTCAGATGTAGCATGAAATTGGACTTCACAGTATAATTTATCAATTAAAACTGCACTGCACACAAATTAATGGTACCTTTGCAACATTTAAAACAAAATTAGTCATTTAAAAGAATAAATCTAATCTGAAACAGCAGCTTCTTACCTTGAACTTTGGTGACAGGCAGAGGTCAGTTGGTGGAGGTTTGCAGTCGTTTATTTTTTGAGCAGGTGTGCTACAGCTTTTATATATCCCTGCTGCTCATTGGATGATGAATCAAGAACGTCAGTCTCACACAGTGATCCCAGACTACAGGATACAACCCCCCACCATCTCTTACCCTCTCCTCCCACTCCTCCTTTCCTCTGAGAATAAGGTTTTTGATGTGGAGTTTTCCTGATGTCTGTCACGTATCAGAGCAATCCATCAGGAAGTCAGTGACACAGGGACAACTTTAAATTATAGTGCACAACATTGGGGGGACCCCCACACCTAACAGAGGCCTGTCAGACAGAGAACTGGAACGCTGGTGGGCGTCTTTTTGATGAGCCTCTCATCAATCAAGAGACCAATTGTAAAAACCTCATTGTCTTGTCTGTGAAAACTGAGCTTTAGGAACTTCCTCAATAGTAAATACTCTTCTTTTTTTTAATTGAAATAGTTCCCCACACCTTCAATCACCAAAACAACATTTTAATAAGTGCCATTTCACATAATAAGAGGTGACAGGATAGAATCATAAAGGGCAAGCCGGGGAAAACGTTCTCACTCAAGTGTACTCAGGTGTAAAGTCACCTTAGGGCCAAAAAGGATGTCAGTAAATGACAAGACATGATGTGACAGTGCATCAAGATAGCCCATGCAGTTTAACCTTTAGGTGTGCACCAAAATCAGAAAATAGTAAATAAATGTATTTAATTTAAGCTACAGTGTGGTTTGTGTGTGTGTGTGTCAGACCTAGAAGACATACATGCTTATTCAAGAGCTGAGATAATCAAGTAACCTGTAGTGCTATTCAGTGAATCCTGTCGTAAATGTACGACTTCAGTGTTGGACGATGAATTGGCAGAAAGTGATTGGCTATTATAACTAATGAGTATTTCTGTGTGAATAAATGTCAGTCCTATTGTTTGAAATGCAGTTTTTCTTCTTCAATTTGATATCTATGAGTTTTACAGTAGTTGCACAAAATGCTGTCTCAATACATCGCTGAACACTTGTATGGCTTATTGGACCTGCATGCTGTATGATGAGTCGAAACAAATTAACCAATTGTTCATTTATGATAGTTTTTGTGCTTCTTTTTTTTTTTATAGATTTAAGGGAAAATAAATGTAGACTAAACTCAAAATAATATAATAAACTGCCAGGTTACAGACCTAAATGGCAAGTTGATAACTGTCTATTATTAAAAATCTTCAAGGAGACTACTGTAATTCTCATTTTTGATAAATGAATAAAAATATGTAGAGGTCAAACTCCCTAAGAATCTCCATGTATTTGATTAAAAAGGACACTGCCTTGGTCAGCCTCGTCAAAGATGAGTTCTTTTGTAGTACCTCTGACTCATATCTGATCCCTCCTCTTCAAACTATAACATCATGTTCTCATCAGCGCCTGATTGAATGGCTTCATCTTGCCTGTGCCGTCTGTTTCTGTGAATGGGGGCACAGAAAATCAGCAGTCAAGTCACAGGGTGATGTTACTGGCCTTGACTTCTGACTTTACACTTGGTGAATGACATTTCTGAGGGATGGTGACGGTACAAGCATAAGAGCCATTGAAAGCAGGTATTTCATTCATAAAAACAGTCTCATGGTCTTGTACTCTGGGGGATTGCTGATGTGAGTCTGGGTCTGTGGTTCATGAGAACTTTGAGAAATGTGGTATTGATTGAGGTAACCCTGCTAACTCAGAGATTAAGTAAAATCATCGGTCTATAACTCCACCTGTAACATATGCCTCCAGCTACATGAGATGACGCCTCTAACTGTAGCCTCTTATGCCAACTCTGCCACTGCCTCCTCTGCCAACAACCATCAGCTGTCTCCACCTGCTGCCTCTGTCAGGGAAATATTCCAAACTCCACCTGGATAAGGTGAAAGAAACGTGAGTATTATTGTGAGTATTATTTTCCAACTAAAGCCTCTGCCAGCAACACATGACTGCTTCTACCTGCGGTCTTCTCCAAAAATATCAGTGTCTAGTTCTATCTGTGCAGAATAAAAGACTGTTGTTTCAATTGGTTCTGTTTGAAGCCTCTGCCAGTGACCTGGTGCCACATCCACCTGCATTTGTGGCTCACAGATGGAGCCCATGCTTCAAACAAAAGGCTCTGCCAACATCAGTAGCCAGTGCCTCCAAGACAACAGGCTGCTTTGCCTTCAAGACAAGCATCAGCCTGGAACCTGCAGCCTCCTTCAGCCCCCGACTCAAACCTTCACCATCAACTGCAGCTGCCTCAACTTGCAAAAAGGTGTGGCCAGTTTATCCAACTGTGACCAACATCTGTTGCAAGTTTTAAACTTTTAGCCCCAATATGTCTTTTTTCATGAGACTAATCCCCTCTGTCCTCTTCTCTCCTCTATTGCCTCTTAAGCCCAGTCCCCAACCGGTGCCTCACCTGCCTTCACCATCGTGTTGCAGACTCCCTGAAAAATGAATAAGGAGCACCTCACTGGAAGGGCCGGCCAACCAGACTGCCTTCAACCTTCTCCTAAGGTTGTGGGTTCGAGCCTTAAACTCTCAGTGCTGAAACATGAAACAACAGCTGTGATACAAAGAAAATCCTCTTACTTTTGAGCTTCAGCTTAGGGAAGATGACTGCTCTGTCCCTCTTCTTCTAAAGTGACATCCATCATGCCCACAGATCTGCAAGAGAGAAAAAGAAAACTTTAACAGACGGCTATCTCTAATAAACTTTAAATACTTTCAATGTTCTCTATTTAAGTCAAATATCTATTTTGACCCAAGTTACCATAGAATCAAACAATTAGATGAGTGAAACAGATTCAGGACTTAATATCATTATTGTTTTTATCTGACTGAAGCGAGCTTGCATTATGGAAGCTTTGCTGCCCTCTAGTGGTGAAATATAAGAACACATACAAAGACTATACAAAGGCCGACTTTAAATGGCTTTTACAACACTGTGGTATCGTCATTGGCTTAAAATACTTATTTTGGGGGGTAGACTCGGTTAGTTATTGAATTAAAAACAAAAAAATCCGCAAACTGCGGCCAAACCCAAGCCTATTCATCATATTTCTAATAAAAGCAACGACCCTCATGAATATTGCAACAACAAACGTCATTCTACAGTCGACGCATGCGCAGAACGAGGTGAAAGTCTACGCATCAACAACACACTTAAGTGTCAAACTATCGTCAACAACTTTGGTCGGACAGACTTTGTATGTCCTTGAAGACAAATGCGAACGCTCTAAAGTCAGAGTGGGGCCACCGGAATCGCCTGAGACGACGCAACAGCGAGGACGGGACAAGAGAGAAGTGAAAGCTCGAGCTTCGGCTGCACTTTATGGAAGTCGTCGGTCCAAACGGTGGTCAGATTTTCACGTTACGCACTTACTTCCTGTTGTCATTGTGGATGTTATAGAGAATAACAGCCTTATACATGACGTGAGAGGGATCACAGCCCCGAAAGAGCAGGTAACGGCGCTGGAAAGAGGGGTCTGAACAACACGGACACCCCCGTGTGTGTTTTCTGCATGTCGTCTACATGAGTGTTTTGGCAGGATGTCACTGAGTTCAGGCGGTTGGACTCAAACCCCTGGCTTCACATCAGATCAGTCCGCCGCCCTCCCCAGCCACTATGGGGCCTCACAGGCACAGCCCGGCTGCCAAACCGTCCTCATGTCGGTTCGGGTGTCGGTGTGCCATTCTGGTATTCGGCCGCTGTGTCTTCCGGGAGCAGGTGATGAGTCACTCCGCCTACAGCTCAGCATGGACCCGGGGAAATCCGGGGAATTCCGGCTGTCGCTCCAAGACAGCAGCGGGACTGGCCGGAGTGTGGTGAGTTCACGACAGTAAGACATGTGGGCATTGTTGTGGTGTGTGTGTTTTTTTCACTGGGAAATACCCCACTGCATGAACAGTGTGAAAAGATGGACTTTTTTATGCTTTCGTGTGTGGAAATATTGTGACTTAAAACACAACTTGACTAAACCATGTATGAAATACTTTGCTTGACTTTGATTGAGAGTAAAGGGCTTCAGCTATAAAGTTGAACTCTGATTTAACAAGAAAATGCAATAGGGGAGAGTGGGGTAAGATGAGCCATTTTTCATATTTTGGATCACTACATCAAGGCAATCATATGCAGATACACTAGTTAGAGACAAAACTATGATTCAAGGTGTTGTGCATCCATACAAACCAACAGAATGAGTGTAAACATAACTGTCTTGATATTTACAGCTGTATTTTTTAGAAGAAAAAGTAACACATTTCAACAATCTGAACTGAAACTCTAATGCTTTCATTAGACTCCTTTACTTTCTCAGTTGAACCACTTGTGAAATTACCCCTGGACTACTATTATGACTGTTTTAGTCCTCTAAGGTAAAATGGTAGACTTTTATGTTAGGTTTTTGACTTCATGTTGTAGCTCATAGACACCACAATTGATGTATTAACAAATTTAAAATGATTTTCTTTGGTCTGAACAAAATTCTAATAAAACTTATGACAGACTAAATTCAATTTCAAGAGTGATTTTTTTTTTAATTGGAATCAAATGTCTAACCCCTTTACCCATTTAAAAGACTTTTTCAAAGACCCACTTTTTCTCCCTTGCTTTTAATAAATGAGCACACAGGACTCAGAGGCACTGTTGCTTTTATTTCTTTACTGTCTGTATTTTATTGTACTTTTTTTAATTTTATTTTGTATTGTTATCTATCTTTTTATTTACTTATTTTATTTATCCCATGTACAGCACTTAGTTTGACTGCTGTCCTTTAAAGGTGCTTTATAAATAAACCTTGGCTTGACTTGACCATGTGCTTCTAACCTTCACAGACTCCATGAATTGATGCCCATCTCTTAAATATTTGGTCACATGATCAATTTCTTTTACCATTTCCAAGCAACAGGGGGTGGCTCAACTTACCCTTTGGCTCAACTTACCCCACTCTCCCCTAATGCCCCTTCAATGCTAATATCACCAAGTCATAATTTATTCCACAACAACGCTACAGTTACCATTCTTCAGAAACAAATATTGCATTTACAGAGTCACTTCTTTTCAGTTTGCAGAAGATATACATTCAACTTTTTGCCATTTTTGGAGGCTTTGGTTTGTATTGCCACTTAATCACACTAATATGATTTAAAACATTTGTTCTCACTCTCATCTCAAATGTTGAAATACTAGTGTCACTAGTGTCAGCTTGGGGATATTTATGCAAAATTCTGCATTGATGTCTTTTGATTAACATTATCAAAAAAAACTTTTTATTGCAGAAAATGCAGCATATTAATTATAATCACATATTTCGCTAAGAAATTTGTACTTTTACTTTGGAGAGATGATTTCCTGCCAACTTTTTAGCTCTTCATGGATCAAATGTCAGCGTTTTTACCCCTGGAAAAATTGACCTTGCAAAAATACAATTGTGGACATATCTTTAAAGATTTTTGGTCTCCATTATTTTCAAAATTGGAGAATCTCTTTAACAGGGACCAATGACTATTTGTAATTTAGTAGGTATGCATTTGTATGTATGCATGAGTATGAATATGTTCATGTATATAGCCTACATATACACACATTTGGATAGAGTTTATAGATATTGTTGCTGCCTCTATCTTATTTTTCTTTTTGTGGTTCCTCTTTAATGTACTTGTCTGATTCTGTACTCTTTATTTATTAATAGTAAGATATATATTTATATATTTTCTGTTCTGTATCCCTAGGGAGGGTAGGAAATTATGTGGTTAAAAAAAAGCTGACATTTTTTTTTGGTTGTTATATCCATGTTAAATAAAGAAGATGTTTAAAAAGAAAAAAAAAATCCCTTTTTGTTGTACAATTTTAGTTATATGTTTAGTGTAACCAGAAGAGGAAGAACGGGTCTCTCTTTATTCATGTCTGTAGGGAAGTCTGTTTGAAGATTCAGCAAATTCATAGACCAGATAACGGAGTTGTTTTGTCATACTGTAACTTTAATTGATTCCCCAACTCATTTTCTTACAGTCTTGCTTTCTCTCCCTGTACTTCCAGACCATTGTTGAGTTTGATCTGGGGCTGGTAAACTACGAGGTGAAATCACCGAAGTGTCATGAGCTGAGCTTGGTGGCGCCTCCTCACGAGAAAATCAGCTTCAACTTCCGCTGCGAGCAGGAGGCCCAGGAATGGGCTACCGTGGTAATGTCTTCATTGAGAGAAGCACACAGAGGTCAGTCAGTCTTCTTTCAAATAACATTCACAGACATTTCATATCTTTAGCACTTGTAAAACAGAGTCTTGTGAGTCTTTCTAAGCCTACACTTAAGCCAAATGTCAAATAAGCTTGATATTCGAACAAAAGAGCCACTTATTTCCCCGCTCCAGTCTTGTTACATCATTGACGTCAGTTTCGACCACTGTGACCAATCTTTGAATTTTGACTTTGGTCAATGCTGTATCTCATATTAGTCTTTTTTCACTCATGTTGATGTCAAAGGCACAGCAAATGAGGGAAAATGCTTATATAATTGTGAAATACTTCAGTAAAATACACAGTACCATTTCTCAGGGGTAACATCATTATACTATTGAAGTGGAATGTGAGGAAGTACGCTGCAATAATCCCCTTCAGGGGCCTTTTAAACTGGTCTGGTAGGCAAAGCAGTATATTTCAGGAGTATGGAGAACTGGTGCTTAGAGTTATACATAGAGACCCCCTTTTTGAGGAAGAGGATGAACATATTTTATCTCTGGTTTTCCTGGTTTTTAAATAAACGTACACATGTCAAAAGAGTGTTGAAAGTGAAAGTGTACAAGACAGAAGTCCTCCTTTGCAGCAAACAGTAAATCCTTTGTTGGCAGATCTTATTTTAAGACACTTAAGCTGAATGTACAGTGGGAGATGTTAACAGTAGCTCTCTGTAGTTGATAGTTTGCCCTGCAGCATGACAGCATAAGATCAGATCAGATCAGACACATAACTTTATTATTCAGCCAACCGAGTGATAAGCTTCTTGTTGTCTTTATATCAACATTTCTCTGTACCAGTTGTTCCTCAAGATAATGGACCACAGCTCCCACATGACGGCCCCGATCTTCGGAATACATTAGCCTTGCAAAAGACAGGTGTGTACACTTCAAATCCTCTTACCTTCTCGTAAATATCACCTTTAATTTCAAGAATATGATTCAACTAATTCAGTCATTCTTCCACTCATTCTATTCATTCATCGATTCATTGTTAGCCCACTAGTGGCTAGGAGGAATGGCAACATCCTCTGCACACACTTGCCCATATGTTCACCGGAATGGCCTCGTGTGTTGTGTGTATGTGTGTGTGTGTTTGCATCCGTAGAGGACACATGCATCGAACTGACCCGAGCCATTGAAGCAGGTGACATGCAGTCTGCTGCTGTCTTTGCTGCCACGCTCGCCCGACAACATGCCGCGCTCAAGATTCAGCCGTCAACCAGAGAATATGAAGACACTGAAATCAAGTAGGAGCGTATTTGGTATTGTTTTTGAAATTGTGATAGAAAGGTAAATAATGACTCCTGTATTTGTGTCTTATTTTTATCCCAAAGCTTGACTGTGGTTGTGGAGGATTCTTCTTCATCCTGTTGTGTTACTGTGAAAGTTTTCCCACACATGACTACTGCAGCACTGAAACAGCAGGTTAGTGTGAAAAACACGCTTCTTGTGTTCGTCTTCTTTTGCTTAATCCATAAAACCCATGTTACAAACCACATCAGCCCTTCATGGCTCATAGAATCACAGCAAAATGTTACATCAGACTGTCTTTCTTTTCACTTAGATGTTTCTCGAGTATGGCTTCCACCCAAGGGTGCAGCGCTGGGTAATAGGTCAGTGCCTGTGCACAGACCAGCGCTCCCTTGCCTCATACGGGGTTCATCAGGATGGTCACACAGCCTTTTTGTACCTCCTTTCTGCCCGTCACGCTCGCCTGACGCTCCAAGCCCTGCAGCGTGATCAGGAGAGTGCTCTCCTTCTCGGACCCTCGTCTCTGTCCGTACCCACTCCCCCCCTCCCTTCTACCTCCTCAAACGGCCCCTCGTCTCTGGACAGGAGGCCTTACAACACCCTGCCTCCCAGACTCCAGATAGGCAGCAGTAATGGTGAGTGTGGGCAGGTTTATTTGAAATCATGCATGATTTGAAGCACACGAGAGATTATGACAGAAATAGTTCAACTTAATGGGAAGAGGTTCTTCTGAACATGCCTCCATCTTTGCCTTGGTGTTGTGACATATGCTGTGTTCAAGTTACCTGGGAAGTCAGAAGTCCGAGCTGAAAATGACATCACACCCAAGTTACCAGCGTCTCAGTTACAAAGTTGGAAAAAAGCTAAATCAGAGGCGGAAACAAGATGGCTATATCTACGAAAGTTATGTTAGCGCTTGCCCTGTCCCTGCTTATATTCCGACAAGACAAGCGCTAAATTAACTTATGTAGATGTAGCCATCTTGTTTCCGCCTCCGATTTTGCTTTTTTCTGAGTTGGTAACTGAAACGCTGGGAACTCGAGTGTGACGTCATTTTCAGCTCCGACATCTGACTTCCAAGGTAACTCGAACACAGCATTAATCTGCCTGGCAGGGTCATCAACTCTAGTTTTGAACTTTTTAAACGTATTAAAAAGTATATGAAGCATTTAAAAGTTCATAAATTTAGCATCTGTTAGTATAGTAGCTCTCAAGTCTAGCCCTTAAGGCCCACTGTGCTGCATGTTTTGGATGTTTCCCTGCTCCAACACACCTGATTCAAATGATTAGCTCGTTAGTAAGCCATTACAGAGCTTGATAACGAGCTGATCATTTAAATCAGGTGTGTTGAAGCAGGGAAACATCCAAAGCATGCAGGACAGTGGGCCTCGAGGACTGGACTTGAGAACCACTGTGTTAGATAACAGACACGGTAGCTCTGTAGAACAGACAGCTGGTAGTTTCTGAAGGAGGGTTTACACTTGTCAAATACACATATTTAAGATTTCCTACCACAAAATAGGAAGTAATCCCATTACGAGGTAAAGGGGCACATTTCGGTGGCGACTGGTGACGTATGTTTTTTTCCTTGAATATGTGTCAGGTGGGTCGGAGAGAGGAACCATCGGCGAGATCAGAGATCTCATCAACCTAGAGATGCCTCAGCTCAATGAAGCACTGAGCCCTAACTCGGCCTCCACTCAGGTAAAAGACAGCTGTGATAGCTCTATTATAGAACTAAATATTAATACTATAAATATTTTGACACAAATGACAACACCTATGTGGTAAAGAAACATTGTAAAAACATTCGAATAAAATCACTTCTCTGTGTCTCAGGGTTGGTCCTGCCCTTCTTGCACATACATTAATAAACCAACACGGCCGGGCTGTGAGATCTGCAGCACTAACCGTCCCGAGAGCTACGTCATCCCGGGAGGATACAGACCTGATGCACTGGAACTAAGACGGATCCAGCAGGAGAAGGAAGCGATCAGACAGTACCAGCAGGTATGAATAATGAAATCTCACCTTTGCCAACATGCACACCATCCTCCACAGTCCATTAATCACACTCATACACCTTTTTTTTTGGCACTCAATTGGATGATTATTATATAAAGCTTTCAACAACGACAACAACAAGCCTTGGTCTGATGATATCTTGTATAATCAAACTCAAAGCTCCAAAAACAAAAAAGTAAAAGTATAAAATTGTTCAAAGTTGACTTTTGATTTTCAATCTACACACTCTCTCAGGTTGACTCTCTTCTCTTCTTTTTCTATTTTTTTGAAGGAGAAAGGGAGAAGAGAGGTGCTGAGGAGTGCTGGAGCTCAAAACAACTCACTCCTGTATAACCTGGACCAGGACTACTGAACACACACACACAGACACAGACACAGGGACGCATACACAACCTGTTTGTTTCACTCACAGTCACAACTTGTAGCACCATTTTTTTATTGCACTTAAGAGACACTCACTTCGGGGACTTTTAAAACCATCACGCTTCGTGTTGTTGCTGGAGTTTTTAGCATGCAGGTGTGTATTTCCCACCCTGCAGTCGAATGTCGGTTAAAGAGCACAGTTGAAATGCACTGATACCACTGACGCCTTATTTCAGCCCTGGACTGGTTGTGTGGCATGATTGTGTATATATCTGCAGTGTCTTTTCCAAGTTATTAACACCCTACACAGAAAAATCTATTAGAGAGCAAATGCCAAATAGACATTTTAAAGTCAAATTCTTCATATGTCACAGAAGCACATAGTGATGGACTGTTTGTTATCCTGGAACTATAGAAATATTTCTAGAATAGTAAAGTGTAGCTTCTTCTAAAAGTATATATGAGGATTAGAGGACAGTCAGTCAATTAAGTAAGGTGTTAAATATGTAATACACAGAAAAAGTAGGCAAACTTTGGGCTGTTGTTTTAAATCATGAGAGTAGGGAACAGAAATATAAAACATTATGTCAACTTTTAGAAACATTTGACAATTCTTTTTCTCAATGAAGGACGTGTACAGAGTATTGTTCTCCTTTTCATAAAGTGACCTCATCTTCCTCTGACGACCGGTGATCTTTTAAGAGTAAAACTATCATAGAAGCTCCTGTAATGTACATAATTAACCTTAATTAAGGCTGGGAAATCATAAATCTATTACTTAAAGCATCAAGTGGCCTTTTAATGAGAACTTCCAAATAAACTAATTTGAATGTATAAGCCCTACTGTTAATTTTGCACTATTATTTGTGTACAATTCTTTGTGGAACTAAATGAAATAAAAGGTTTTATGTGCAGTTTTGAGTCTGAATGTGTGAGGCCTCTAAAATGTTTATCCAAGGGAAAGAGTTTAGAGAATAAACCTTTAATCCTCCCCGACAACACCTTCGCCTTATGCCAGGCAAGAGAAGAGGAGCGCAGGGAGAATTTCGCACAGCTGGTGATGATGGATGGCCAAGACCTGCTGCCGAATCCAGAGCCTGTGGACTGCAGGATCTGCTATGTGGACCTGCAGCCTGGTGAGGGCGTCCTGCTGAGGGAGTGTCTGCACTGTTTTTGCCGGTAAGAGAGAGGGTTTGCAGGAGGAAAAAAATAGTGCTGCAGTGTTTCCTAATTTATCATGATTCTGACTTGTTTGTATTTTCGTGCTTGTGCACCTAGTGAGTGTTTACGTTCAGTCATTATGCTGAGTGAAGAGCCGGAGGTTGCCTGTCCCTACAGAGATGACACGTATTCCTGTACCTCCTCGCTGCAGGAGAGGGAGATCAGAGCTGTGAGTTGACATCAAACACAGAATTTTGTCTGTCTTGTCACTTTCCATCTAGTCGACTAATGGGTCCCATTAGCTTTAGAAGCATCCGAATATGGATGTTCATTATGTATCAGTTTAGAAAAAAAAACTCCCAGAATCAATACCATCTTAGAAGTGTCAGCTAACACTCTTTACATATGTCTTCACAGCTGGTACCTGCAGAGGAGTACGAGCGCTGGCTGCAAAGAGGTCTGTCTGTGGCAGAGTCTCGATGTGAGGGCAGCTACCACTGTGCCACTCCAGACTGTCTGGGCTGGTGTGTCTATGAGGACACTGTCAATGTCTTCCACTGTCCCGTCTGCAAGAAGCAAAACTGTCTGATTTGCAAGGTAGAGAATATGTCAATCGTACACAGGAGAAAGGATGATTTGATGATTTGATTATATACTTGAAGATTTGTAGGAAACCGTCTTTGTTTAGAAGCACAAAAAGAGGCATTTCTAGGAAGCATCATGCCCTCAAGTGTCTCGTGTGTAAAGTCAAAAGTGTTTCTTTTTTTTTTACTTTCACAGAGTTTGAATATAATCTTGCACTGACGCATCTTTTTCCGTTCCATTTCATTTGGTCTTAGGCCATCCATGAGGGAATGAACTGTAAGCAATACCAGGATGATCTTGCAGCCAGAGCTATAAATGACTCTGCTGCCAGGCGCACAACACATCTACTCAAGGTGAGCTGTAATAAGACCTCCTGCGTGTGTCTGGGTGTGTGTGGACATTTTCTGAGCTGTCTGTCATGACATATCCAGTCCAGCTATTACTCAGAGAAAAGAGGATTTTAGTTCTTTGGTTGCAGAAGAAAGTAACACCTTTTATATCCTCTCATCCCACACTCTCCTTCTTTTGCACTTTTTTATTTTCTGTCTCACAAACAGACTCTTGTGCAGTCGGGCGAGGCGATGCACTGTCCCCAGTGTGGCATAATTGTGCAAAAGAGGGATGGATGTGATTGGCTGCGCTGCACTGTCTGTCACACTGAGATCTGCTGGGTAACCAGAGGGCCGCGCTGGGGGCCGAGGGTGAGAGAAAAATTGATGTTTCTTTTCATTCTGGCAAATTTATTCTACATATCTTCCAGTCTTGCCTACTCATACAGTATTTTAAGACAATGATTTGTTGTGTGCACCATGTTCTTTTGGTGGTTATCTCTGAGAAAAAGCACGATTCATTAACTTTTGTCAGATAGAGTCATAAAAATACCAAGATTTACCTAGCACAGGATTAGTTCACTGAAAAAAAGACATATCAATATCCCTAATAGAGATGTACATATTTCTGAAAAGTTTGACAACTCTTATTCTGATCCTTTCCAAGGGCCCTGGAGATACCAGTGGAGGATGTCGCTGCAACGTCAACAACCAGAAATGTCATCCTAAATGCCAAAACTGCCACTGAAATCTAAAGACTGGACAGGTTGTCAGTGGGATTAAAAGACTCAACTGGAAGTAGACTGTTCTCCCCACAGGGGAAAAGCATTAATGTGAATGAGAAAAATGTTATCAAACAGGATCGTTAGTTACAGCACATCGTCATTGTTACAACACGGTGCATTCTCAGTTCTCTCTAAGAAGTAAAAGGCATTATGTGGACATTAAGCTCTGCGTCTGTAAACACAAAAATGCAGTCTGTTTTCAGCAAGTCAACATAAAGATGATCAGAGTACTGATAGTTACTGCATGTTGTGCTTTTTGCACTGAAATGTAGTGATACGGGTTTGTTGTTTTCTGTTTGGTTGTTGCATTAAGGGGTGCATAGCATTAAACTGAATGGGGCCTTACTCTTGTGCACAAAAGCTGTAGCAGGGTGTTTATGGTGAGGTTTTAACAGGACATTCAAAAAGATCTTCAATAAGCAATTTTCTGCAGAGACATACTTCAAAGTGTTGTATGGAGCTATATATGGTGGTAGATTTTTTTTTTGTCTGTGTGGGAGGCAGACTGCATGTTGCCAAAGAGGCTTGAAATGTGTGACTGAATGGAACGGATTCTGAGTGTGAGTTCACCCCCCACTCAATGCTTCTGTATTTGACATAGGTGGATGCAGACGTTAGTAATGTACTGCTGACCAGCTGGGTGTTGTATGATGCCATCACCAGTAACCCTCAGAGTGTTTTAATAACAAACTATTTATCATGATACTTGATCACAGTCAATAAGACAAAGCACATTGAAACACATTTTGTCAATAAGCTTATATTCCGATGAAGGAATTCACACACGATCGGGTGCGTAAGGTAATATTTAAAAGCATACTGAACAAAGGTTTAAATACTGGGAAAGCTTTCTAAACGAATACATAGAAATGTTTGTGATTCATCTCTGCATGAAGTTGTTATGATAATACATAAATTAAAAATGAACATAGTCTGTAGCTATAACCTTGACTTATGAGGTGTCTCACAATCCACAGTCTTTAAACCAAAATTTTTAACCCCTCAAATCACCTTGATACACTACTGCCCTGCACTGACAAGCCATGAAAGTCTTCACTGTTACGTGTCTCTGTGGTAAAATATCAGCTCTGTGTTGCTGGAGTACCAAAGTTGTGCCTTAATTATCAATAAATACTCTCTAAACTCACAGAATTCTTTTTGTATATTTGTACCGCAATTAAATGAGCAGAATCTGACCAGTGGCACTTAAATCAATAAGTCCTCTATTTGTTTAATATGATATCAGTGTGCAATATATGATGATGAGCTGTTGTTGATCTCCCCAGGGATCGATGCTGGGTCCCCTGCAATTTACCTCAAACATGCTACCCCTGCATGTGAGAAATGTGTGACTGAAAATGTTTTTGAATTTCACCACTTATAGGGAAATTCACAACTGCACAACAACAACTAGGTGTATCTGATGTATACTTTTCTATGTCTTCTTGAGCCAGGTGCTTTAAATTTTTCTCAGGATTGTGATGGTGCACAGAAAATCCCCCCCGGGATTCTGACCCCGAGACCTGACCTTTGTAAAGTATGCTGGCAAAATAGAGTGCTTGGTTTCAATGATGGTTGAGTTGAATGAAGGTTGAGTTGAGCCACTGACTAACCACTGGGCAATAAAAAAACAGACCTGACCATAAGGCAAGGGATCTACAGACCACAAACAATCTTCAAAAGAATAGGATAAATCAGCTAAAACATGAAAAAGGACGCAGTAGTTCTTCTACCTTAGCGTCTCTATCTGATTGCATTTCCATGAAGAAATTATCATAAATGTTCTTCCTTGAGCTGTGTCACCCCGCTGCAAGAGCAACTCCATAATCCCACTGTTTTAGCTTCTTTGCCTCTACTTATAGATTTGGACCTGAGACCTGGCCATCGTCCCTGCTGCTCTTCAGGCTGTCTGCGCATGTGTCAACTCGGCGACACTGACACCTGGTGAGGATTAACTGGTAGTACAGATATATCATAATATTCAAATAAACATGTATGCTCAAATTCTAACATGCATGCTTATAGTTTTAGAGTGCAGTTAGAGGGGCGTTTTTCCCCACGTTAACGATATTAGTTTCATCAGCGTGTGCTATTGGTCCAGTCGCTGAGGGGGCGGGGTTAAAGCCTCATGCAGCAGCACATAGAAATAGGTCCGTCTGCTTGTGACTTCTTCGATGTGTTTGCTATTTAAACGGTAGATAGGTGCGTGGAGGCGGACCTGACAGATAACGGATCATTGCAAGAGTAACATTCACAGGTGAGTCAACATGTCGGTACGATTACTGTGACTGTATTAAACCCTTTCGTCTGTTCATTTGCATTCGGCACATGCACACTGCTCAGGCACGGTCTGTAGCGTTAAAGACAGCATGACCTTATTAATAGAACAGATCGATTGCATTGAGTAAATACATGTTGCCTTCTCATTTATCCGCTGTCACGTCTTAATTTATTTATTTGGAACAACCTAAACAGGAATGGGTTTGTCCTGCTGCGAGTTTACAACCCCCGTGTCTCCTTTTTACTTGGCAGACCAGTCCATTGAAATTCCTGCAGGGTTTGTTCGAGATTTGCAAGTTTAGCTGTGTTGCAATACGTTCTTTGTAAACACTGTTAGATATCAATCATGCACGAGATGCCAAAAATGCAAATAATGTTTTAAAAAATTGTTAAAGTCAAAGATCAGACAGTTTCAGGGGTGGTGTTGAAATGCATTGGAGACTAGAGGAAACTATATGTGCTATAAGATGTGTGTTTATGGCAAATTGCAAGTCAAGCAAAAACCTGGAGATGTGTAGACAAAAAGAGAAGTAACTTGAGAGCACAAGGACAAGACGTAGAGAAAGGAGTGTCTTCTATAAACTAAGGTGGGTTTGGTCAGAGAAGCATGCAGAGAGAGGGAGAGGGGGACTGTACAAGCTGTGGTTTCACAAGCAATGTATATGCAGGGCTTTTAGTTGGCTGTTATCTTATCAGTTAAGTGGTACAAAGAGGATGCAATAAACTCATCTATTTCCCCTTGTCTGACACCAGTTAGTTACAGTTTCAGAGTCGGCTTCTGTCTTCATAATGGCTGAAACTTTGGGGAAATTCGACTTTGCCATCGACCGAGGAGGCACCTTCACTGATGTTTTTGCCCGGCTGCCTGATGGTCAGGAAAGGGTCCTGAAATTGCTTTCCCGGGACCCCCAGAACTATAGAGATGCTCCCACAGAGGGGATCCGCAGAGTCCTGGAAGAGGTAATGTGGCATCCCAAGAAGCATAATTTGTGGGTGTGAAGTGGATGGGGAACACGTGAAAAAGTGTGTTAGGTTGTGAGTGCATAGATTTGTTTCTGTTGCTTTTGAATTTGCTTCTACAACTCTACATGTCCCAGACTTTCAGAATAAAAGACAAGTCTGCAAACCAAATATAACAACAAAACGTAAAATGTGTAAGTTGACATACACAGCTATATGAGCAGTAGGTGATAAATGTTTATTTTTGTGTATTTATTGACAGGAAACGGGGCTCGTCTTTCCTCGAGACCAGCCTGTTGACACCTCTCTGATTGGTTGGATTCGAATGGGCACAACCGTGGCAACCAACGCTCTACTGGAGAGGGAGGGAGAAAGGACTGCGCTCCTGGTCACAAAGGGCTTTAAGGACCTGTTGCACATTGGCACACAGGCCAGGCCGAAGCTGTTTGACTTGGTTTGTGATGCTTGTATTGGTTACTCATTCATTTTATACACTTCAGTGTTTGAAATCCGTAATTTTGATTGCAGCATCAGTGGTTTCTAGGCTTGAGAAGCCCAGGTCAGGATCTATAAATTCTGCAACTCAGAGTTTAGTCATTATCTTGTGTTACAAAAGCATGGGGGCAGGTTTTGGAGTTTGTCCCCAGACCAGTTGTACCATCTAAAGTTTAAATTGTCACTTATCTACTATACAAAGCCAATACTTCCTCACAGAAAAAGCTGTCTAAGGCCCAGTGAATAAGAAGGCTACATTCAACCTTTAAATTTATTTGATATCACAAAAGGAAGCATGCCCCTCATCATCTTCTAGCTCAGTATGTTTACAGATTCTACTAGTCGACGCACTTAAATTTAGGGTTTACATGTTTGTGTGAGATGAGTAAACAAGGAACTATGCTTGCAAGAGTTTACCTGTGTTGAGTTGCATACCCTGAGGTCTAAGAAATACAGGTAGAGAGGTGACAGTATTAGGAGTAAAGAGTCTGGGTCAGAGTGCAGCAGTTCCTGCAAAGACTATGTCAGTGTGTTTCTTCGTTGAGGGTAGTGGAGAACTAAGCTGAGGACTCACATAACACCATCACCTGTATGTCTAAATGTAGGAAAATTCCACACCTTCCATGATATGTGACATGTTTTGAGATATTTCAATTGCTGTTGTTTAATTTACTTGGATTTATAGCACATGTGATTTCTGTGTGTTCAAACAGGAGGTGGCTGTTCCTGAAGTGCTCTATGAAGAGGTAATAGAGGTGGATGAGCGAGTCGTGCTCAGGCAAGATGGCTGCCAGCTTCCCAGAAAAGATCCAAAACGTATTGTCACAGGTGTGGAGTCAATGTAAAAGCTTCAAAATGATTTAAAGGTTGTTGATTTTTATTGCATTGAATTGTATCGTATTAATTAGCCAAGATTGCAGGGTTTGTGAGGATTCCACTCAGTTAGTTGGCTGGTTGTTTGGTACGTCTTAAACCTGAATGAAAGACCTAGAAAATGGATGACCACATTCACAGATTACTTCCCATTTTCTGCTTTACCTGAATGTCAAAATTCCGATTGTGTGTCTTTCAGGCAGTACAGGAGATACTCTGGAAGTGTGGAAGGAGCTCAATCTGGAGAAAGTTGAAAAAGACCTCAGAGGAGTTCTGTCTCGTGGGATCACCGGCTTGGCTGTGCTTCTGCTGCACTCTTACACGTAAGTAGCACAGCTTGTCTCTTTACCATTTGGAAAAGAGGTGTATTTGTTCATGCTTGTAATCGGATATATCTTGTCCTCCAGTCTTTCATTGACTTTTTTTCTCTCAATCTGGAACAAGCTGCATTTGTTCTTTCACTTAGAGGCTGGCTGTGCGCTTATAGAACATTTTGTTTCATTTCTTCCTTTTGGTACAGTATACTCTTATGTAATTTTTGCTCATAGCGTCTCTGTGGGTGTAGAAGTATGTACACTGTACATGTCAAAGCTGTCTGGTGTCAAATAGCCTGTTTCTTTAGTATATGGAACCCATGTGGTTTGCTGGGAGGAGGTTCATAGCTGCTCTCCCATTGGTTCATTGAATCCCAGCTGCAGCCAAAGTCTGCAGACATGTTTCAATTAAAGAAAGCAGTGAGACCACTTAGATTTACTTATGTTATAGTTTCCATATAAAGGTTTGAAGCGAGAGTGCACTGCAAAAAAAGAGATTAAGTTGAATGAGAGCTTTGTATTTGACTTAAATTCAATCTCCGCCTAATTCCCCTCTCTCTCTTTTGGACTACTGCAGATGGTCTGAGCACGAGAAAGCAGTAGGTGCTTTGGCACATCGCCTCGGCTTCACCCAGGTGTCTTTGTCCAGTGAGGTCATGCCTATGGTACGAGCAGTTCCTCGGGGTTACACAGCCTGTGCGGACGCCTACCTCACACCCAAAGTTCAGCAGTATCTGAAAGGCTTTGCCGCAGGTTTTAAAGGTGGCCTACAGGTGTGTTTTGCGCATTTCCCACACTAAATGTATAAATTTGTATTTTTACAGACGAAGTACCAAAGGACTTGGGGGTGTATAGTACATTACTATTAATAACCTCCACCTAAAGACAACATGCACTGTAGCTGTTGGGTGTCAGTTAATTTCCTGCTTTAAGATTGAACTCCTGAACCTGTCTTCAGGATGTGGATGTCCTCTTCATGCAGTCAGATGGTGGTCTGACTCCCATGGAGCAGTTCTGTGGCTCCAGGGCCATTCTGTCCGGCCCAGCAGGAGGTGTCGTGGGATACGCCATCACTTCTTACAGCCAGCATGAGCTAAAAGCTGTGATTGGCTTTGACATGGGCGGTGAGTTGCGGGAATACTGAGGAAAACTGTTACTATCTGGGACAATTACAGAGTCCACAGACTATGACAGGAAGTTCCTGCTATTGTTTTGTCGTTCTTTGATTTCATTATGTACCACCCATTATAACCCAGTCAATTTATTTATCTCATACTGATAGTGTCTTCATTTCTCTCTGTTTCAAGTATTATCAACAAAGTATTGCAAGTGTGCTTACTAATGGAGGGAATGGCAATCCATCTCTTTCTATAGTATACACATACACTTACACAACATTTAGCTTTCTACACTTAGGGTCTTCCTGACCTCCCCTGGTCTGCTTCTCTCCAGGAACATCCACTGATGTGAGTCGCTATGCAGGCAAGTATGAACACGTGTTCGAGGCTACCACAGCTGGAGTCACCCTGCAGGCACCCCAGCTGGATATCAACACTGTGGCTGCAGGTGGAGGATCACGACTCTTCTTCAGGTCAGTTTGTCAATGCTTGTCTCTGACAAATCATTTGATGAGTACATTTCTGTGCATCACATTTTAAAGGTCTTTGTTACAGGTCTTTGATATGCTTATATATTTATTTAAATCATTATAAAGTTGTTCGGTGCTGAAACAGTTATTTCAAGTGGACTTTTATCTGATAACAAGTTTTAGTGACATCTGCAGATCCTCCCGATGTGTACTTTAAGCAAAAAGAGCTTCATTTGTCAGAAGCTGTGTTTTAGCCATCACATGAGCTTAATCAATGACCAGATTGTCTGCAGGGAAGTTGCACTGTGGACAATTTAGACACCAGGCTTTGACAAGGACACAAAACCTATTGTTAAAAAAACACAATGGTTTTGGACGTGACAGAAATGATGTGGACTGAAGGGGAATCCACTGGTGTCTGAGAGTAAAATAGCCAAGCTACATTTCTAAAAACGGGTGTTGTATAATGTAAATAGAAAAGCCGTTTTTAGCAGTAACTTCATAATCTATGCATCTGTATCTTCTTGGTGAATCATTAGCTGAGTGATGCATCTGTGTAACTCTTTAACTTTTAAAAGGATGATGCAAGTAAAAACACCAGAACTAGTAAAGATCCCAAAAGACAGAGGTCAAAGGTCACATCAGTTTCTGTCAGTTTTGTAACAAATTTTAACTCTCTAGAAACATATCTAACTTAAGCTATTCATGGCCTTTTTTTCCATCTTTTCCCTCCCCTTTAGATCCGGGATGTTCGTGGTTGGACCAGAGTCTGCGGGTGCACATCCAGGACCGGCCTGTTACAGAAAAGGTAACAGAGTGTTCCCACAGCTGTTGCACCGTTTAAGACTTTTTAACTCCTTTCTTTCTGCACATTATTTTGATTTTTTTTCCTTCTAACCCAACTTTAGAAATATAAAAGTGTAAATTGCAGCTCTCTTTCCATACTTAGTTTAGCATCTTAAACAGAATTCTTATTCCAGACTTGGGATATCCAATGTTCAGCTCCCCCTCCCCCTTCTTTTGGGTTGATAATCTGGTTCAGCTGTGTAAAGGAAAATTGGCCACAGTGCAGGTTTTTGGATGACATAACTACAGTGTGCTTTATGGCTCTGTGTTTGAGCTGCAATGTGGGCGTTTACTACAAGAAATTTGACGTGCTGTGCAATACTGACTGAATCTCAAAGTGACTTTTTACATGCAAGATTACAATAACAGCATGGATCTGGAATCTGGATAAACATGACCCTGTGTTGGATTTTTACAGGTGGTCCTCTGACTGTAACAGATGCTAACTTAGCACTGGGCCGCCTCCTTCCCTCCTTCTTTCCTAAGATCTTTGGACCAGGGGAGAATGAACCGCTGTCGATGGAAGAAACCATGAGGCATTTCCGTTATCTGACCCAGGAGATCAACCTCTTCCTGTCTTCAAACCAAACACAGGCATTGATTTTGACTTAAATTTAAGCCCCAATTTAAAATGCAGAATAGTAGATAAAGGCTGAAAAATTTCCTTTATGTTTTTATCAGCAGATAAATGCCAACGGGGCTAACCACTCACACAACCAAACATCAGCCATGAGCGTGGAGGAGGTTGCCATGGGATTCATACGTGTGGCTAATGAAGCCATGTGTCGGCCAATCAGAGCTCTGACCCAGGTTTGACTTTGAATATTAAGATCTTAGCTTCAGTGTGATAAGATTAAATTTTTCAACCCTCATCTCTTCCATCAAACTCCCTCCTCTCTCACCCTCTTGCAGGCTAAGGGTCATGATACATCTCAGCACGTTTTGGCGTGTTTCGGGGGCGCAGGTGGCCAACATGCCTGTGCGATTGCTAGAGCCCTTGGCATGAAGACTGTCTTCATCCATAAGTAAGGCTTTTCTCTACATGGAGTGCATTTACATGGATTTAAGAGTCCAGGTTGGGATTTTTTGGTAATTGTATCATATCGCATTGTATCATCTGGCTCTAATATTGTTCCTGTGTCTTGTGTGTTGCAGATACAGCGGTGTATTATCAGCTTATGGACTTGCTCTCGCTGATGTTGTTGAAGAGGTGCAGGAGCCCTGTTCTCTGCGGTATGAGCAAAACTCCTTCATGGAGCTGGATCGGAGGGTAGAGCGTCTCTCCAAACGCTGCCATGATACACTTTGCTTACGTGGATTCACCAGGTCAGCACCCACAAAACACTACAAACTCAAAAGTGTGGTCATTTCCTTATGTAGCGATCCATATGAGAACAAGCACTATAAAAAAGTAATGACACAGTGATGCAACCTTGTGTTTCTGTTCCTCTCCAGCTCTCAGATCACGACTGAGGTATTCCTCCACCTGCGTTACGAGGGAACCGACTGCGCTCTCATGGTTACTGCAGCTGGTTACCCCAGCAACGCCCAATCATGCCTGGCTGGAGACTTTCGTAGGGGCTTCACTAATCGGTTAGCTCTTTGCTAATGCATTTGTGTGTCACTGTAACAACTAAATGTCTGAAAAATGTATAGCTTGATAGATCATATACAAGTACACCTACACTCTACTGTACACTCTTTTGACAAACTTCATATTAAGAGGCGATGTATTTCTTCTTCCTTAACCCTCTAATGTGAAACTTCTTTTTCTTTTAGTTATCTGAAGGAGTTCGGATTCACTATCCCAGACAGACCCATCATGGTTGATGACATCAGAGTGAGGGGTTGTGGGAAATCTGGTATTAAATCTGTGCATAAGAGTATGATGGGATATGGACAAGCCAAACCAGTCGCGGTACATAGATTTTCTTTGAGACACTTTTCCAAGCAAATGATAGTCATGTTAACTACAAAGGCCAATGATAAATATATTTACAGTCAAAGTAATGAAAAGGTCAACTGTTCAGTCTTAAAACTTCTATCCTTGATCCACTTTGGCTTTATTATCCACTGTAGAGGACCAAGTGTTACTTTGAGGAGGGGTACCTGGACACCAGTGTGTATCTGTGGGAGGAGCTGCCCTGTGGTCAAAGCATCCAGGGACCAGCCATCATCATTGACAAGAACAGGCAAGCGCTATTTTCTTACTGTTATAACTTCCTCATAAACCTCAATGAAGCTTTCTTTGAGTGATAGATACTGAAAGACAAATTTGTACAAATAAATATAATACCAGCCAAAATAAATCAGACCAAAATCAGATTCTCTCCCTCATGATATGTTCTTTGTTACATCAGTCAACAGTAAAATACACTAAGTTCATGCAAACACCAGTAAGTTGTAGTTATCTATAATTCCATTAATCATCTGAATTAATAATAAATTAAATAAAAGGGTTTTTTTTTTTAAAGAAACTTTAAGTTTCTCTGACTGATCCTCCTCTTCGTCACTAATCTGGTAAACTATGCTGCAGCAGCTCGTATTTGTCAGTCATGAGTTTGTGACCCTTTCCTCAAAATTGGATGTGAACTAAAATTCTCCAGAAAAGGATCATTTGGACATCATTCAGTTTATAAAAGAAAACTATCTTTACAGAAAGCATACTTGAGGTAATAAATAAATAAATAGATAAAAATTCAGTCTATGATTAAAAGTTTTTAAAATGTAGGAGAACAAGATTAGGGTATCCCCACTTTATTATTATTATTTAATCAACTATCTATCTTAAAGTTCCTATGATGAGATTCAGGCATTAATGTTCTAGAAAAAAATAATAATAATGCTGTTTCATGATATCCAAAAGTAAACAAGACCATCAGTAATAACTCAAACAAGATTCACGCAAATGATACATCAAATCTACCCCTTTTTTCTGAGTTCAGTATTTTAAAAAAGCTTTATTATCATTTGTGTCTTTAAATGATCAGTAGTCATGTTTTTTCTGCATCTTTCTCCACCAGTACCATACTCGTGGAGCCGTGCTGTGAGGCTCGTCTGACAGAAGGGGGCGACGTTTGTATGACTGTGGGCTCTGACCCTCACTGCATCCTGGGCACTGAACTCAACACGGTGCAGCTCTCCATCTTCTCCCATCGCTTCATGAGCATAGCAGGTAGGACACTGGAGGACAGTAATGATAGAAGAGTGAAGGTGAAAGACTTCATGAATCCTCTGTGAGCTGACCTCATGGTTCCTCCCCCACAGAACAGATGGGTCGAGTCCTTCAAAGAACCTCCATCTCCACCAACATCAAGGAACGTCTCGACTTCTCCTGTGCTGTATTTGGACCAGATGGGGGTTTAGTGTCCAATGCACCCCACATCCCTGTACACCTGGGGGCCATGCAAGAGACAGTCCAGTTCCAGGTGAGGAGTGTTAACCCCTTTCTCTGAGTCTCTGGATTTAGAGGAAAGCAACTGTGCAGAATGAGAAAACAGTATCTTTGTCTTCTTATCTGTGCAGATGAAAAAATTGGCTAACAAGCTGAGAGAGGGTGATGTGATCCTGAGTAACCACCCATGTGCTGGAGGAAGCCACCTCCCAGACCTCACGGTCATCACACCGGTCTGTTTGTCCTACTAAACCCTTACTCTTTTTATTATCCGCTTTGTTATGAACGACATCTTTCTTCTAACCACTACAGCAGCTGCTTTCTCTCTCCATCTCCTCCACAGGTTTTCAAGAGAGGTGTGAGTGGGCCAGTGTTCTTTGTAGCCAGCAGAGGGCACCACGCTGACATTGGCGGCATCACTCCAGGCTCAATGCCCCCTCACTCCACCTCCCTGCAGCAGGAGGGGGCCGTCTTCACTTCCTTTAAACTCGTCACCGGTGGCATCTTCCAGGAGGAAGGTAAAGAGAGGGGGAGGTGAAGCAGGAAAGAAAGAGAGTGACAGGGGAAAGATTATACAGAGGGGCATCTTGATGAAAAGCTGAAATAGACACTTCTTGTTTTTCAATTTCTTTTTTTCCAATGAGGACAGGGTGGAAAATACCAGAAAGAAACACTTGATATTAGTATCTTATATTTTTTACTTACTTTAGATGTCTAATACAGAGCTGTGAGTGAATATAAACCTGTATTTTTCTTAAATTAATACATCACGCACTTTAAAAACTGTCCAGATTTGATAAAGAAACAAAAAGCTTCTATAAAATGCTATATTAATTTTGTAACATTTTTTGGTCATGTTTTGCAGCTTAAATCCTGTACATGGAAGTCTTTGAATATACCACCAGTGTTTGTTTTTAGACTACCACAGTCATGTTCATAATGCAGCTTAAAAAACTAACATGACTGACACTTTATTCCTCTTTTTCCAGGTTTAATTTTCTGTAAATTTACATTTTGTTGTTCCATTAATTAAAAGCAAATCTCTGAAAACAGGAACAAATGCTTTTAGGGATAGCTCAGGTTGAAATATTATCCTTATTGTACATAATAATTAGCTTAAATGCACAAAAACACTAGTGTGGTCCCATAATAACAGCTCAAATCAATGCAGTTCAGCTTTAACATATATAGTGACTTCCCATAATCCTTCACTCTTTCTCTCTTTCTCTCCTTTCCTGCTCCTCGTCTCTTCATATCAGCTGTAACTGAAGCCCTCATGGCTCCAGCCCAGTACCCAGACTGCTCTGGGACTCGTAATCTCCATGACAACCTATCAGACCTGCGGGCTCAGGTGGCGGCCAATCAAAGAGGCAGCCAGCTGGTGGGGGAGTTGATTGACAGCTACGGGTTAGCTGTGGTCCAGGCCTACATGGGATACATCCAGGTACCAGTGGATACATAATAAACAGAATTTTGTGTGTGTTTACATTGTAGGACTACAGCTTATATGTTTGTCATTCAGAGTAATGCAGAGTTGGCGGTCAGAGACATGCTGAGAGACTTTGCACGCCGCCGGAGGCAACAGACCGGCTCTTTGGAGGTGGAGTCAGAGGATTTCATGGATGATGGGACGCCAATCAGACTGCGTATCCAGATTAATGAGGAGGAGGTGAGTAGGGAGAGATATGAACACTTACATACATAAACACAAAGAGTGATGTGTTATTGAGAATAAGTGCAAAATAAATCTTAAAACCTCCATCACTGCAGGGCAGCGCGGTGTTCGACTTCACAGGGACCGGAACAGAAGTGTGGGGGAACTGCAACGCTCCACGTGCCATCACCTTCTCTGCTCTTATCTACTGCCTGCGCTGCATGGTTGGACAGGACATCCCCCTCAACCAGGTGATAACAGACCCCACCCTCTTGGTGTTTAAAAACATCAAGGTTTGACTGCATGAAATCTGATTTTCCTTCTTATTCAGGGCTGTCTGGCACCAATCAGAGTCATCATTCCTCCCGGATCAATCCTTGAACCCTCCGATGACGCAGCTGTGGTTGGAGGAAACGTGCTGACATCTCAGAGGGTGGTTGATGTCATCTTTAAGGCATTTGAGGTGTGCGCCGCTTCACAGGTAAGAAATCAGACATCTTAGTTTTTTACTTTCAAGGTAATTCAATGATAAAGTGTTTCTTTAGTTGGAAGATTGATGGTCATAAAAGCTCACCCATGTTTTGTGTCTCCGTTTTTAGTTCATGACTATTCTTTTCATCCTCAGGGCTGTATGAACAACATTTCATTTGGCAGTCAGAGGGTCGGTTACTATGAGACAGTTGCTGGGGGAGCAGGGGCGGGGCCAGGCTGGAATGGGCAAAGTGGAGTTCATAGTCACATGACCAATACCCGCATCACTGACCCCGAGATTCTTGAGAAGAGGTCCGGCAGGATTTTAAACTATTTAAAGATTTACTCTTTTGTTTACTAAGTAATAATAAGTTAGTATAATCTTGATAATGTTGCTTTTGCCATCTGGCGTCCAGATACCCGGTTATTTTGGAGCAGTTCTCTCTGCGTCCTGGCTCAGGGGGAGCTGGAAAATACCGCGGGGGAGACGGCGTGGTACGGAAACTTCGATTCAGGAAAGAAGTTGTGTTGTCTGTCCTGACAGAGAGGCGCTCCACCCGTCCGTACGGCCTCAGGGGTACATTCTGACTCCAAAAGTTATCTGCATAAATTTCCATGTTCCCATTTCCATTGCCTCATTGAATGATGCATGGTTGTGTATTTGGTTACTCAGTGATACCATGACATTAAGTCACTACAGCCTCCTTCTTCCCTGTCTTTCAAACAGGCGGTGAGGACGGAGCAGCTGGGATGAACCTGCTTCACAGAGCAGACGGACGAGTTCTCAACCTGGGAGCTAAAACCAGTGTCAGCCTTCAGCCTGGGGTAAGACTACATGACAGCATTAAAAATCATTCCAAAATATGTGTCATTAACAAGTAACTGAATCTTAAGATATGAAACCAAGATATCCTGGCTCAAATCTAGTCCTTTTTTGTCTCTTGAAGATGAGACTGCTGTTGATTAGTGATGATTTTTCTGTCTTACCAACTCTACATCTGTGTCTCCCCCTGCAGGACATGTTCTGTCTCTACACCCCAGGAGGAGGGGGCTATGGAAGAGAGGATGACCCAAACAGGAGACCTCAAACCAAGCGTAGGCGCTTGAATGAGACCTTTCCTGAGAGAGGCAGCGTCTTTGAATACCGAATGGCACAAGAGGGAGTGTGAAAGAAAATGAGAGCAAGAGAGAGAGGAGAGGTAAAGAGGTGGGGATATAAGCGTGTCTCTTTAGCACATAAAAAGATGCGGCAAACAAGATGGAAACATTCAGTAGTATTAAGATTTTGGATGTTTCACTATGAGAAATAAAGAGGCGAGTCTGACAGTTAGACTAAGATGTAGTCTGGCAACAAAATGTCACATATCATCATGGTTTATGATCAACTTTTTTAAACATAAGACTCTTTAGCTTTGTAGGAAACTGTTAGCTCAACAGTTAGATGTGTGTGAGGGACAAGTGTCATATTTTCTTGCTCATAATAGTTGTATACTCACTGTACAGGGGTGTGTACTGAATCTGAACTACCTGTTTCAGTGCGTTTCACATCTCCCTACTGTTAGTGAAACTTGCCCCCACCATCCTGCCTGTGTGTGTTTTACACACAATGGCCAAACAGGGGCGTAAATATCTGGTCTGAACTGGGGATATATGTAGCACATTTCCTTTTCTTAGTACTCTATATCGTAACTTTTTTTCATCCTTTTTTAAATCCTTAATACTCTTATTGCTTCTGCATCGTCTTGTATTCATAAGTTACCATATAAATCACAGGTAAATAACCAATAACAATAATAGTTAAAGTGGATTTGATAGGTGAAAAAGACGATAAATGGATACTATTCATTTGTGTGCGAACAGATACTCATTGCCCCAAGTGGCCACCCCAGTTTGAAAAGTCTGGACACACCCCTGTCCACTTTGTAGTGGGATTGGGTTTGAGTTGGGTGTTATTTTTAGCTCACTGGTAAAAGTTTAGGCGATACAGAGCCAGTTTAGCAGCCTCAGTTTGATGACGAAATACACAGAGTACTGTATATTTTGTTGTTTCTAGACCCCAGAAGTATTTTTGTAGGTTTGATAGCCTTTTTTTGTATTGAAATCTTTTTCAGTTTTCATTGATTCAAGTCTTACTGTAAAGGGGAGGAAAAACAACCATAGTGTGTTTTTTAACTGGAATAACCATCTATCTTAAACCAGATATTTGTGGTTTTATTCCTTTTTAACACAAAATAAACCCCATTTATACTACTGACATTTCCCCTTGTGTGTTTTTTTATATTTTTGTGGTGTAGCCCGGTCTTAAAATTTAAACACAACTCTACGTTTGGCATGCAGGACTGAGAGAATCTTAAGAAACTCCTGATGAACCTGGTTTATGTCGTCCAGAGATGTTTTTCTTTAATTTAGAAGTTGATACAAACACTTCTCCAGGGTGACTGATCAACAATTACCTCACTTACAAATCACCACAGCCCAGTGTGAACCCTCGTCATACATGCAAATTCATGAGCTCGAGCGTTCAGAAACAACCCAGAGTAGTTGTGTGTTTGGGGGAAGGGGACACGTCCCTGTTTATGTGGTGTCCCCTCCTCCCACCTTTAAGTGAGGGATGATCAGGGAGAAAAGGAGGAAAGATGGTGAGAGAGTTCAGGCATGCGTAGGCTGTTGATAAAGAGATAGAGGGCACAGCAGTAGAAGCAGCAGGAGGCTGACGGCTGCTGGACCGTTGATGTAAATCAACCAGCTCCGTATATCTGTGTCAGTGTGGGTGTGGGCCTCAAGTATGGAGGACGTGGTCTGTGGATCAAAGGTACTTTCTTTGTTTATAGATCACAATCCCTGCGAAAAAACTATCATAATACGAGGATTTGAGACTCACTCCAGCAACAACTAGTCCACATTTCTCTTCCCCTGCCCTCTCTCCACTACTCTCTCTCTCTTTCTCCCCCTATCTCTCTGTATTTCTCCCCAACCCAGCAGCGGCCTGATGGCTGTCTAACATGAGTCTGGTCCTGCTCAAGGTTTCTGCCTATTAAAAGGAAGTTTTTTCTTGCCACTGTTACTCATGTTAGATGAGATGGGTCAAATCTGTCCCATCTTAGGTTGGGTCTTGATAATTCATCAAACATTGAGCGTGGTCTAGACCTGCTCTTTTTCTTTGGAAAGCATCTTGGGATGATGACTGCTGTGAATTGGCGCTATATAAATAAAATTTGATTGATTGATTGATATTTTTCTCTTTATCTGTTGGCCACTAAAGTATACTAGCTAGGTGAAGGACTTTGTTCAGTTAGCTAGGAAATCGCTAGTAACATGAAGCTTTTAAGGTATTTGTTGAGTATCTTATTTTCTTGTACTCTCAAGTATTTTAAAAGGATTCACTTTTCCTTGTATTTTTTGGGGGGGTTTACAGTTGCAGAAATGTTTGATGTCAAGATACACCAAAGTGGTGGAATTGCAAACAAACAGTGATGTTAATTTTCATAGATTTTCTCTGGAACATTAGGCAGGTAAACCAATCAGGACTAAATTTAAACATCAACTACATTAATTTGAACTGTGTAGTTTAAATGATAGTAAAATCTAAATGTATTACGCACACAAATGTATAAGAATCAGTGGTATAGATAATGGATGGACTCAAAAGTAAACATCGATAAATATAAAAAGCACTTTATTACATACCCTGTTCAACTCGTGACCTTTTAAAACTTCTGAGCTGATTTTACTTCAACTCAGTTCTGTACAAACATTTTACAAAACCACAAGTAATGTGAAAACACTACTGTAACATTCACCTGTCGGAGTTGGTGGACACTTAGAAACAGTTATCTTTGGACAATAACCACAGTGAAGACAACAGTGCAAAAAATAAGCAGGGCCCAGGAATCATTTCCACGCTATTGTGACCTGAGGTAGGCACTGATGGCTGGAGTTGATTGTCTCAAGTAGTCGAGTAATACGCAGCATTTTCACTAATTGCACATAAACCTTAACTGCATCTGACAGATTTTATAAAAATGGTTCCGTGAAATCAATCAGATCACTGAAGACAGAAAACAATTAAAATCCTAAAATGAAAATGCAAGTAAATGGAAAAAAATAAGACTGTGCTGCTTTACAGGTTAATATGCAGACCTAGATAAACAACTTGCTGTGTATCAAGTATTTTGCACAAAGAGACAAAACAAAAATTCAGACATTAACTCTTAACAGAAAAACACTAACAAAGGAAAATGTGCCAGACTTTGAAAAATCCCACATGCTGTCTGAAACTGAGCAGGATGTTGGACAGTAAAAAGTGGAAGACAAAAAGGATTCAGACTCAGAGAACAGTGCAAATACAGTTTGCAGTGCAATAGCAAGCAATAGCTCAGAATCCATTTCGCTGAGGAGGTAATGAGGTAGATATTTGTTGGTTGTATAGCTATATGAGGTAGTTCTTTTTTTCCAGTGAAATGACTCCATTTATTAAAAGAAAGACATAAAGAAGGACGTTTTTCCCCAGTTTCCAAAAGAGTTATTTCTCCTTGTTTTGGCACCCTGTGGCATAGTTAATAGACCACTTTGTCAAAGATAGCATTGGCCACTTGTTTTAGGATTATTTCAGCAGGCTATGGCTGTCCTTGATGAACATGTTGGATCTTGCTTTGCATTTGTGCATTTTGCGTGACAGTATGGCTTAGTATGAGTAAAGGAGTCCGTGTCTCAGGGTCAGTCAGTACTGGGGATACCTGTTTAGTGGAGGTCCGTTCTGTAATGTGTACTGACTGGGAGGTTGATGATGTGAAAGAGAGTTCTGGTTTGTTGGTACCAACACGTCAAAGACACTTTTGTTTGGAGGAACAGATTGCAACATGTTGTCCAAGTCCATAATAAGAGGTGGGGCTTGGACAGAAACTCGTCCGTTGGGGAGGATTGGCCAATAAGCATGACTTAAAAAGTGACTAGGTGCTACAGGTGAGCCGCCGTATCCATACAGAGGAAGTCCACCATGCAGAGGCATCAAAGGGCCTCCATTGAAACGCATGCTGGGTGGTGCAACAGCATTAGGGGGAGCATATTTGGCATAAGAGGTGGGGAGCTCCCATGGAGGTGCAACGGTCTCCCTACGTGCTGATTTGTGAAGAGGAGGTCTGTAGTCCTCATAACCATCCGACCCAGCTTCACCATCAAGAGGAACTCGCTTCCTAGACAGAGACATGCCTTTCCATTCTTCATCAGAGGAAGAGGAGGAGGTGGAGGCCGGGCTGGCAGAGCTGGCTGAGGCACTGCGGGTAGAGGAAGCATAGCGAGGTCGAGGAGGGGGTGAAGAGTGGGGAGGGTCAAGCTTGCTCCAACAGTCCCTGGAAGACACGTCCACATCACCAGGGGCACTCGGAGGCCTCAAACTGTGCAGCAGGGAGTCTATGGCAAAGGAGGAGTCCAGTTTGGGTCTGAACAAATCCTCCTGTGGTGGGGAGGGGTTCCTGGGACTTATCACAGGGAGAGCGGTGACAGGGGCAGAGGGCGGCTCAGATTCTGTTTTTTGTCCATGCAGGATGTAAGGGGCCAGATCCTGGGCGAAGATGGTCTCATCCTGACGTGACACGGCTGTGTTTTGCCTCTTCAGGAGTTCCAGAGGAACACGGCTCAACTCCACTGCCCAGAAGTTTCCTTTACCCTGGGGCTTCCCAGGATCCTTCAGCACCTACAGGTGGAGCAAGGACAGAGAGTGAGAGGAGCACTTGGCCTGACAGCCTAGTTGAGCAGGACTTAACCATCACCATAACAGTGGATTGAAGATCAAATCTCAAAACCAGTTTGAAAGTTCAAACCACACCTCAGGCTGTATTTGTATGATTGCTCAATTTGATAGAAACCTTATCCCAGGGGTTAGGGGATGGGATAAATACTTTTTTATAACCCAGTTCAGTCAAAATTCACTGAAATAACTGAAAATGATTCAGTTAAGGAATTTAAAACAGCTGTAGTGTACATACCTTCACAAAGCAGTCATAGGAGGAGAGGTTGTGTCGCACAGAATCTCGCCAGCCCTTATAGTTTCCTTTGAAGAAGGGGAAGAGAGTGCTGATCTCCTTCAGGATCTGGAAGTAAAACAAAAATGTCAGTGTGTTTGTTGATGAAAAGATAGGTGTAATATGCAGGAGGATAATTCTAATGAAAGAAGACACATAGTTGTGGTAGTGTGGCAACATAACTTATTATTTCGTGGATGCCAGTTTCATGCACCTTCCCTTTGACTTAAGACATTTTGTGCATTCAACTCAAAACCCAGTATGCCGATACTAACTTTTCCAACAGCTGTAAGAAGAATCAAAGTTTTATTGGAAGAGCATTTACAGTAAATAAATCTTGACTTTACCATGCACTGTATATCTTATCTCTCTCCTGATACAGATCAGTGTCTGGTTTCACTGCAGTCGAACCTTATCAAAGCAAACCAGGAATGGAAGTCACTCAAGTGTCACCAAGAAGCTGTTATGTGTCACTTTGTGGGCTGTAAACCGCATGAGAGTTTTCTTGTGGAATTTTATCAGCTAGAGGTTGGATGACATTATCTATCTTATTTATTTTCTTACTACATTTTGATTTAAAACAGTGCGTAAATTGTGTACAAGTTGGTAGCAAATCCGTGCGTAAAAACACACCATGCGCCCCTCTACCTAAATAACTTAAGCCGTTGCTCAGAGTCCCTTAACACAAGAGTAAGAAAAATCCACTCATACCTCAGATAGCGTCAGTTTCTTCTCTGGAGACCTCTGGATGACCATTGCGATCATAGCGAGGTAAGAATACGGAGGCTTCGGATACCGCTGATAGTTCTTTTTCTTCCCAACGCCTGTGCTGTTCTTGTCCCCTTCACTCTTCCACGACTCCCCGTGTAAAGAGTCCTGCTTAAAGTTCGCATCCTGAGGATATGGGCACAGGGGCTCCAGTACTGTGGCTTTATCCATAGATACCGTCGCACCGTGGAAACGCTCAGAACGCGCTGCGGACTTCTCCAAGCGCGGCGGCTGCTGTGGAACCATCTGAGCCGGGGGCTGGTGAGGCCAATGCTCGGCTGAATTGCTCCGTACTACTCCACGGGGAGGAAATCTCTGATGCGCATTTCTATGGAAGTCAAGTTGATGACCGCGATGCTCTCCTAGGTGGGGCAGAGAAGGTAGTGCCAAGAGGCTCGGCTCCGGCCAGTGTTTTGTCATGCTGATCAGGCCAAAGGGGGGAGAAGATCGGTCCGCACGTTCGGACAGGAGCGCGTAGAGGGGGAGGGAGGTCAAAGAGTTGGTCCTTAACTTCTAGCAGACTGCTGGCTCCAGGCTGACTCTATTTGAAGAGCAAACAATTAACAGTTTCATGTAAATCCCGCTGCGTAATCGAGGGGAGAATGACGCGTTATCTGGGAGCAGAATGACTGATCACCCCGGGGGGGCGGGGAGGGTCTGTGTATGAGGAGGGGCGAGAGAAACACAGTAAACCTGTAAATAAACCTTATGATAATATCAACATGCCACTTTCAACGCAAAGATTCCAACAAGCACCAAGGTTTAAAGTGCGTAATAGGAGGAGAAAAATGCAAAACTTAAAGCACAGATGGAAGTTATTTTATTTTTTATTTTTACAGTAAGTGTCAAAGAGAGTGAAAGTGTTTGTGACAATTGACACAAAAGTTTGTGAGCTAAAAAAATCAATAAACTCTGTCTTTGAGGGTGAAGCTTGGGCGCAGAGGGGAAACCTAAATCTGGTGGGGGATGGGTTGCAGTACAAGAGAGAAAAGTAATTTCGATTGAAGCTTGTAGGCAATCAACAATTATTTGTGAGCAATATACATTAGAAATGGCTAATATACAAACCTCAATACATTATCATTGACATTTGTTATAAACTAGCACTTAAAACGTACAAAGTCAGTTCCTTTTTTGACTATTTTTTCATTGGAATTCCTTAAGTTGGGAGGATTACAATAAAATTTGTCACGTTACACAGGCCTGTTAGTGTTCAGATTCCAGGGAAAAGGCTTGCAACTCTCTGAAAGCTCATTTTATTCTTTAAGGGACACACAAAAATTAAATTAGTCCGCCTAAGAAGGAAAATAATTTGGATCTATGAGCGCGTAATACCGTGGAGACCTTTTACGCACAGAGGGATTTCACGGTGGTCATACAGGATGCAATTTGGTGTTGGAGGACAAAGTTTCGGGAATGCGGTTCTTTTGTTCAACTTAACGTAGTGCTAATGTGCAGACGCTTTCTACCCAGCAAGACAGTGAAAAAACAAGTTGGATTAGAAGGAACCCCATCGACAAGCTGGAGACTCTTCCTTCTCAAAGAAGCTGCTTTGCATGTGTGGAAATACGGGGGCCATTCAACACCATTTGTGGGTTTTCTGGCGCTTACAAGCTGCTAAGTGTCGTTGTAGGGTCGGATATTCACACCTTCAACTGGGAGCAATCATGTTTTCATGTTCTCCCTGAAATGTTGGGAACAGACTCAAACCAAAACTACTTTACACCAAGAATCAACAACTTCCAGTATCTTTAGTGTGACACACCGCAAAATCTGACACTGGGCTCTTAAGTTTCGTTAATGTTCACTTTAACAGTCTTTTTGTTTTAATGATGGATATATTAGGCTACAGCTGATAAGAAAGTGAGACTCCACTCTTGGCGCATCACCTGACCTCATATGTGCTGCAAAGTTCATCTCTAAAATATCTGCATGATCTCATTAGGTGTTTGAACCTGGTGCAAAATCTCACATATTGCAATTTAAAGTTTAGCCTACTGGACGAGAAATGAGGGATCAAGTCGTTTAAGTTGTCTTCTTCGAGAGACCTGATACTTTGACATCAAAAATAATCTCCTGGTCGTGAAATACTCACCTCATAATTTTGCAGGCTGTCACTTTTGCAGCACAGATTTTGGATACACCGGCGTGCACGGATCTGCAAACCACCTTCACCTGCTGCGGTTTGCCCAAGCAATTTTCTTCTGTGGTTGTAAGCACTGTTAAACAGCCAGAAATGTTTGTCTCCCTCTGGTGGTTTCATGAACCAAGTGAGAAGTTAACTCCAAATATCCACAACAAATCCTAAAGGGGGAAAAGAGAGTCCACATATGGAGTCTTTTGTGTTAATATTTGTAATGGATGTATGTTGTGGTCAGCTTTGCAAACATGTTCAGGCAAAGCCCAAACTATCATAAGTGCTCATACATATTTCTATGCCCTCACACGGAGAAGTGCTCAGTGCATAACAGGCTGATTTAAATACAAACTATCACTCTATCGCTTCCTGTTTGCTGGAGTGCTGGTTAATAGGTTTTGCTTGGATTAGTGTTCCGCACATGAGAAGAATGGAGAACCATATGAATAGGAGAGCATCCAGGACAAGGCTGTTCACATACACTGATTGTGTCCGGACAAATCCCTGCTAAGCTGATTGGGCAAAGGCCAAACTATCATAAATGTTCAGACACATTTCTATGCCTTCACACTGAGAAATGCTCAGTGCATTACAGGCTGATTTAAATACAAACTTTCAATCTATTGCTTCCTGTTTACCGGAGTGCTGGTTAATTGGTTTTGCCTGGATTAGTGATCCTCGCATGAGAAGAATAGGGAACCATAAGAATGGGAGAGCATCCAGGACAAGGCTGTTCACATAGGCTGATTGTGTCTGGACAAATCCCTGCTAAGCTGACCCCAGATGCATCCTGAGACTGAGAGGGTGAGGAGGAATGAAGTTCGGTCCTAGTGCAGTAAGAGAGAGTGAACCAGAGTGGTTTTATCTTTGGCAAAAGTAATGTTAAAGGTGCTCATATAACAGTTGTTTGTAAGTTTTCCCTGGTGTAATCACAACAAACTTACTGCACTGGATCTTCTTACCTGAGATGTAACAGCAGCCTAACCCAAAGAAGTGTTTTCTTTTTGTGTGCCTGCAGCACAGCTCTTGTGTTATACTATTAATTTCCCTGCAGGGGTCAGCAGATCACTGGGTCATCCCTGAGTCTGTTTCTATCAGCTGACTCTACTGCTGATGGGAGCTTATTCTTTCAAACCAGGCAAACAACTAAGCTCAACAGTTGATTTCTCTGCCTGTTTTACTCTGGTATTTTATCATGGGGTTGTTGTTTGCTCCAATTTGCTTAGGGGAACACACTGTCATTTTACCATGAGAAGACTTTTATATTTTATGTCTATTGAAGCACAAAGTGATGAGGATGAACTTTCAAACATGCAACTTGGCTGTGAAAGCTAAAGCACACAAATACACCCTTTGTATTTACAGTTAGGGTGTTTTGACTGTTGCATGTGACACCTACATTGTCATATGTGTTTCATTTCTCACTCTTCATGTAAACTAACTCTAAATATTACGGCAGAGTAGTGCCGTGGCAGATTTGATTTAAAAATATATTATGGTAATTGTATAGATTTAGATCCAAACTTTTCTCACCAATATTTCCTACAAGGGCTACTAGGTACAACTGTAACACTGAACACTTTATAAACCCCTGTTTAAATCTTGATGGGGGAGAGTGGGGTAAGATGAGCCATTTTTCATATTTTGAATGTCAACATCAAAGCAATTATATTTTTGTCTCTAGTTTTGTGTATCTGCATATAGTTCAAGATGTTGTGCATCCCTGCAAACCAACAGAAGGAGTGTAAACATAACTGTCTTGATAATATAGCATGCCAAAAAAAAGTGGTCTCCTATGGTCAACTTACCCCATACACGGGCTAAGTTGACCATAGGAGCGGGGTAAGTTGAGCCGTATCCCTACTACTATATTTGGTTAAATGGTCAATTTCTTTCACCATTTCCAAGCAACAGAGGGTGGCTCAACTTAACCCCACTCTCCTCTACACCTCTAATGTATTTTCTGTTGTATGAGCCTTGATCATCTTAATACAAATAAAACAAAAAAATTCTACACATTGTTTTTTGGTGAATTGTGCACGATATTTGAACTGTGTGTTAAAGGTTGATGCTAAAATAAAGTTAATTTACCAAAACATTAATAAATTGAGGTGTGAGATAGTTTGCCTTTGGCGCCCCCTGGTGGAGCCTGCACTGAGGGCGGTGAGGGCGCAGGTCCGGTTGTTATGGTGAAGCATTTCCCCAGAGGGCTGGCCGGAGCAGCAGGAGCGGAGGACAGCAGCTGATTCAGTTTCAGTGCCGCAAAGCTGCTCAAGAGCCACCGCTCAACCTACAGCTCAACAGGTAAGCTGTTTCTACATTGTTTTGAGTAACTTTACGTCCACAGCGTACAAACTACTCGGCTTGACACGCCATTCACCAGTCATTGTAAGTTTGCGGCGTATCATTGAATTAACTCGAGCTGACAGCCGTGTAGCGGAGAGGTAAGCTAACCTGAGGCTAAGGTAACGTTAGCGTGGCGAAACATCATTCATATAGCGGACTTAATGGCTTTGAATTGTTCTTAAAAGTTAGTTTAAGTCGTAAAAATCGCCCTCATAGGATAAACAAGTCGGTATTAACTCTATGTTTAACCCAGTGAATGGAGCCAGGTAGCTTAAATGAGCTGCTGTCGTTACCTGTCAGACTAGCCACCTGTTGAGCCTGTCTGCGGACCGCTACGTCTGTTTGCTAATCTGCTACTCATAGTTAATCCTGCGCTATGTTGGACAACAGAAAAGTAAACTATCCCTTGTAAATACCCTTTTTTAACTCACATGCTGCTTCTGAAATATAAAAGTAATAGTGTCCGGGTAATTAATTAATAAATTACAATATAAAGTCTAAATGAGGTAGACAGCAAAGGACTGTGTCATTAATATCAGTGATAATCAGTTATAATATGAAGCTATTAAACGAGCTGCAGCACATAGTCCACTTTCAGATAGCTCCTACTTAGTGCTGTCTGAGTGAGATCAATTTCTGAGTACTTAAAGGTGGTTAGACGAAACAGTGTTTTATCAGCAGCGAAAAAGTACAGTATTATACTGTAAAATCGTCACATAATGTAGAGATTGGATGAGATTGCATATCACAAGGTTCTGCACACCTTTGGGATCTCCTTTACAGCTGACACAAGTAGTCTATTTGTTTATTCAAATGGTCAATTGGCAGGAGGTATTTATTTATTTATTTGCCATAGGGGAGAGTGGGGTAAGTTGAGCCAAAGGGTAAGTTGAGCCACCCCCTGTTGCTTGGAAATGGTAAAAGAAATTGATCATGTGACCAAATATTTAGGAGATAGGCATCAATTCATGGAGTCTGTAAAGGTTAGGGTGAAGGTGTTAGGCATTCATTTCTAAAAAAACATTTTTCACTCTTGAAAGTGTATTTAGTCTGTCATAAGTTTGTTACTTTTTCTTTTCAAAAATACAGCTGTGAATGTTCTGAATCACTTAAAGGCGTTCTCATGTTAAAATGGCTTTTTACAAAACAGCTTTTTAGCAGTTATATGCAATAATAATAAAACATATACTGTACAAGTTGAAAAGCATATAATAGATAAAAATTCACATGAATGTGAAGAAGTGACAGGGCTGGGGTGGAGAGTAGGGAGGTAATAGGGATATGGCTCAACTTACCCCGCTTCTATGGTCAACTTACCCCATACACGGGGTATGTTTACACTCATTCTGTTGGTTTGCAGGGATGCACAACATCTTGAAATATATGCAGATACACTAGTTAGAGACAAAATTATGGCTGTGTCCGAAATGAATCATCCAATCCTTAACCCCCATATGGGGTTCACTATATAATTGACTATGTAGTGAGCTCAATCACAGGAGGTTTCGGACACTACAAAGGGATGCCCACCATCGGTGAGTGACCATCGGATGGTCACTACATTTTGCAATGCTTTATGGGAAATTTTGAGTTGCCTATATAGGGTACTGGAATTGATTACTAAGGTTTCGGACACCCCTCAAAATGGCGCTAACCCCCATTTAGGTGCTTATAAAGGGTTAGGGCTCCATTTCGGACATAGCCTATGATTGCCCAGATGTAGTGATCTGAAATATGAAAAATGGTTCATCTTACCCCACTCTCCCCTACGTATAAGTTTATCCATCGGTTTATCATAGGGATACATATCAGTAATGAACAGCCTACTGGATAATCAAAACGGCGGATTACCCTTTGAATGCTCCTTATCTACTTGTCTTAAACACCGCCATACCCATTTATTAGCCTTGATAACCTTGCACTTATGTATCCCTGTCCAGCCAGTCTTGCCGGCTTTGCTCACAAGTATTGCCATGTGTGGTCAAAGTACTTCTTCAAGGCATTTCCTGAGAATGAATGGTCAAATATTTGCAGGTTTCCCAATATAGACCAAGATTAGCTGGTGGATACACAATGTGACAGAGCAAACATAGTCATAGATAAAGAAGGAAATCATAAAAAGGGTTGAACTGGTTTTAAACATCTTACTTTACAGTATTTTAATGTGGTCTTGCATGGAAGCATGGTGACTGAATTAAGATACATAAGAGCAGATTTTCTCATCTGAACAAGTTTTTATTCGTAACTGCAAAATTTGTAAGAAACCTGAACCTAGTGCAGAACTTGACATACTCAGAAAAATATTTTTGCCATCCTGAGATGGTGTTATGATCAGATAAGCCCCGTGAAAACCCAAATGACTCAACATTTCTCTAAAGGTCAGACTGTATTTAAGGTTTGGCTCACTTTCTTTCATTCCCTCTTTTGGACACTCCCTCTTGTTTTTCTTCATTCTTTCTTATCTGGGTACTTCTTCACCTTCACATGCATATTTTCAAATGAGTGTAGAAGAGTGTCGTATTTGTATTTTTATCTCTTGGTATAATTAAAGGTACTTGTCCTTCTTTTCCTGTGCCTCCATGATGTGGCCCTACTTCTGACTTCTGAACAGTCGGAGGACTTGACGTAGGCTGTCTCCTCCCCATCCTTCCTCCTCCTCATATTCTCCTCTATCTCCTTCACATTCTTTCCTCCACATCCTCTCGCCCTCTCATTTCATATCCTGCCGACCAGAAAAAGAAGCGACTCCCTGTTTGTTTG